TTCTGTGTCAGAAACCTTCCCAAGAGACAAAGTCAGAGGGCACGTGGTGTGGAGAGCGGTGAGTCGTAGGAATGCAGCTGGAGTTCAGCACAGATGGTGTCTGGGTATCTTTATAAATTGTGGGTCAAGTCTTCCCGTGCCTCTGTGCCATTCCGTGCTCGGCTTTGTTTTGAAACCAATCATGCACTTTACTGAGGGATGTGTGCCAAACATGGAGCTGCCAGTAAAGTGAACAACAGAGGTCCTCAAGAATGCGTCTCTTATTTCAAGTAACGCAATTAAACAATTCAATAAGAAGCATGAAGGCAGTCAACTTAATCAAAGTGTTTCTAAGCCGACAGCTGAAAACCTCCAACGCCTCTAATGAACCGAGCTCTGGGAGATAATCTCTCCAGATGTTACAAGGCGCATTGAGTTTGCTGGAAACTAAACCACACACATTTCTTTCCAAACACACACTCACTTTGATGACTTCACAGAGCAGCTTAACATAATGCAGATCTTCTGTTATATGGGTACAGGCCAGTATGTATTGTTTGTGTTTTTTGAATGCTGCTCTGTTAACATGTGCATTGTATTTTGTTTTAATCATTTTAATTAATTGATGCTACTGCAGAGGCAGCTCAAATGTGTGCACCACTGGAGTCTGAGATGAGCACAAGGGGACAAGAAAGTTGATTTGATCCTATCCTGTCATTTTGATCATATGGTTTTGTATCACATGGCATCACATGGGCGGCAGTAGCTCAGTCTGCAGGGACTTAGGTTGGGAACCGGAGGGTCGCCCGATCGAGTCTGGAAATTGGTCAGGCAGCTCCCCCCCCCACAAAAACACACACACACACACACACACACACACACACACACACACACACACACACACACACACACACACACACACACACACACACCAGCTCAAGAGCGCTTGCTGTGGGAAGCCCCCTCACTGGGACATCTCTCCATTAGTGCGTGTCCACAGGATCCTGTTTGTACATGTGAATATATTTCTGCATATGTTTGTATTGCAGGTCCAACAACAGAGTATAAAATGTAATTTCCCCTCATAGGATGTATTTTATCTCCTTCTTTATATGTTATCGTTAGCTTATCCTCTCCTATCATATTGGTCATTTCTTACTGTATCATATCGTATTTGTATCATATCGACAATAACTTTATCGTATCACATCAGTCGTACCCTACCGTATCCTATCAACACTGCGAGAGGTCACAAAGTTCATTTCTGGCATTTTCAGTCAAAAGGAACATCTTTTAGAAGATTTTTAAAGACCCTCTTCTTCTGCTGATCTTCCCAGACGCATCAAGGTTTGTATTTTTCTAAATGGATAAAACAAATTGACAAAACAATGCAGTGTTGCTGCAAACAGAAACTTATTTTCTGTAACCCTGGAATGTTATTTACTGACCAAACAGATAGGACTTCTGACATAAGACAAACTGGAGCAGCACAGCATGGATCCCAGAGGACTTCCAAGAAGACATGAAGGCAAACAGGAAGCAATCATTCGATCAGATTGGAGGCAACCCGACAACGATGGGCTTTACTGGAGGTCATTACCCTCCTAGCGCTGTCATGCGAGGACCATGTAATATCCTCCGGGTTCAAAAATAGCACTGAGCAGCTATTCACTCGGTATCACACTTCTATCTCTACAAGGAATGCTGAATGTTCCTCTTCTATTCTCCATGTGACACCGTAACGTTTGCAGCTCCTAACTATCTGCGTTGTTTGCATCCAAACATCAATTTTCTCACATTCTGTCCTTACATGAAAAACAATTATATAAGCACTGCTCTGTACATTCTCCAAATACCAGCATGGTGGAACATGTTCATAGAGCCTGAAACACGTTTGGTAACGAGAAACAGACTCTGACAGGGGCCGAAGAATAAATCACTGGGCGCTGTCAGCCCGTCTCCTCAGTCATCAAAAAACAGCATCACGTCGAGACCCTAATGAGTCAAAATCTGACTCTGTATGAGGCACTACAGAAAAAATGTGTCTGTCGTTTAAGTTGTTGTTCTGATATCGATACAGTCAGCTGACTTAAAACCGAGTGCCTGGATGTCTGCCTGGGTTGGATGTTAGGGGCAATGAACGGGTCAAACAGGCACGAGACTTTCAGCCTGAAGTCAGGGTCTGACTCCTGTGTGAACTAAAAAGTCAGTGCTGATGTCCTTTATTGCAGTTTTTAAAAAGTGTGTTAGTAATTTAATCTGCTCAAGTTACGAAACAAGCAAAGATATTAAGTGAATAAAAGCTGAGCAGTAATCTTTTTCAAAAACAAATCCAATACTTTCGGGGCGGCTGTGGCTCAGCTGGTCAAGTCAGTTGTCTCTCAATCCCTGGGTTCAATCCCCAGCTCCTGCAGCAACATGTCCGATGTGTCCTTGGGAAAGACACTTAACCCTAAATGTCAAAAGTCATAAAATGCTAAACTTTTGTTTGGAAAGTATTATTTTGATATAGAGAAGACGTAGGTGGTCATAATGTTCGACACTTTGATACAGCCTCTGTTTTCTAAGGAGTAAAGAAAATCAGAAAGCTTTCAAATGAACTACAGATCTTCAGTCGTAATTTTAAACAAAATCTGCTGCGAGAAAGAGAACGAAAGCATCGGTCGGCCTTTTAAATTCAAAGGTCAGCAAATACTCAAATACCGACATTTCTCAGGTCTTTTCAGGGTTTCATATACAGACATTGATGTCTCTTAGAAATAGACAGAAATCAAGAGGTTACACTCTCTAACTAGTTAAAAGTATGAGGGAAAGGTTTCGGTATCGAAAACTTTTTTGAAACTGTATTTGTACAATTCAGACAAAGTGCAGGAGTTAACTTAAATGTCTTGTTATTCATTACAAGATGTTACCAATTATTGGTTTCCTAGGACTTCATATTTTTGTTGCCGTGGGATAGAAACAATTATCTTTACTGTTTGCATTTTACTAATATCAAAGTTTAAAATGAAGAACCCTAGAATAAGATGTTTCTCTGAATTAGAGGTTACTTGGCTGCTTCATTTTAAGAGATTGGAAGTCCTGACATTTATTGTTGTTGACACCAAATTGACAATGGGTACCTAGATAGACACATTTTTTAAGCTTGTGGCCACATAAAAGTTGTTTGGAGGTCAGAATGTGTTGGCAGGTTCCATCATGTGAGCTGTAAATGAATCCGTCCAGCTATTTGAAAAACTCTTACACCACAAATCAGTGCATTGATGACTGGTTGATGCTTATATCATCTAAAATGATGATGTGAACACAGCTCAGGTTCAGACCTCCTGCTGCCCTCAGCATGACTCTAGCTGGTATCCCACTCCGCTCTGACCTGACGATACGGCCGAGGGCAGCCTGCCAGTTCTCATCTCTATGGTTATAGAAGGAGCAGGATGTAGGAAATGGATGACCACAGACTGATTGCAAAAGGGAGGCCTGCGGTTGGGCTACTGGGATTCCAGTGTGAAGACCTTACCAAGTGGAGGATCACTTGCTCTCTTTCTCAGGAAGTGAGCCAGACGTCGACACACTAGCGTGGATGTGGTCTGATAGTCGACTGTAGAGGGGAGAGTTCATAACTTTGAGGTTGAGGAAAATCCCCATCAGATACTTTTTTACTCTGAGTGCTTTCCAGGAGTTACATCGTAATGAGGTGTTATGTTACTCAACGTTTGTCCTCTCTCCATGTTCAAGAAAGACAAAGCCTCAGTTTGATGAACTCAGTTGTGGTTTACATTTGGACGTCAGGCTGGTGGGGAGAGCTATGACAGTAATGAAAGCATGAAATAACATAAATAAAGAGCATTGGCATATTTTTCCTATTCACTGACAGAATGGTCAGTGAATAGGTTTGAATAATTTCTAAAATATAAACACATATTGGACGTAATTAGTTAAAACTTGAAGTTAAACACATTTGACCTTTTATTTTGTATCTGTTAATATTATAAATGAATAAAGTTTGCTTGGAGATGTTTGCTGTTGTCTAACTATAGATTATTATCTTCAAATATATTGTTTCAACTTAGAACAATCGCTCCATATTTTCCAACTGTATTGTCTTTTGAGATGCTGATTAATAAGGGATCCTGTCAAATGCATATCCAGGCATAGCCTAATTTAAATTAATTGAATGCTGTTCTTGAAACATTTGGACTACCACCACAATAAGGACTCATTTTGAATCAAACACAAAAACAATTTCTTCCAAAAGTAATTAAGCGTGCATACTACTGTTGACATAAGGCAGGCAGTATGCACTCTGTTTATAATTAGAAACGCTCTTATTGCTTTTGGGATGCAGGTTACTGATTGAAGCAGCATATCCACATGTTCAGAATTTCAAAAGTCAGTCATCGGTAGTCGAGTGCCATTGGCCAGGTTTAGATACATCAGAACTGAATCAGACACCTTCATTCAACTCAGACACTCATTGACTACGTTTACATGCACACCATATTCCTGTATTAATCGGAATAATGACAATATTCTGATTGCGTAGGAGTCATGTAAACACCTTATTCCAATTGTCATAACCCGATTAAGCACATTTTCCGATTATTAAAAACCCGAATAAGACCCCTGGCATATGCCTGTATCAACCCGAATATTGGGTCATGTAAACGCGTTAGTCGGAATATGGTCTTGAATATGCCACTTAAAGGATTTGATTACTTCTGCGCATGTTCAAAATGGCGAGAAACGCGCACAAGACATTACACTTTTGGGGCGAGGAGGAGACAAATTTATGTATTCAAATAATGAAAGAGTTGAATATCATGGAATACATAGATGGGCAAAAGCACCGAAATAGTGATATTTTTAAAAGAGTGTGCGACAAGCTTAAAGAAGCAGGTTTTCAGCGTACTACTGACCAGGTGAAACATAGATGGAAAACCCTGAAGGCGGCGTATGCTAAAGCTAAAAAACAAAACAATACCAGCGGCTCAAACCCAGCCAGTTTCAACTATTTCACGGACATGGAGGAAATTCTTGGACAGAGACCGTTGGCGATGGCACCAGAGAACGGAGTTGATGTGGGCTTTCAACAACATGTACCTGTAGCCGAAGGTGACCCAAGCACATTTGATGCTGAGGACAACGATGTAGGTAAGTTGGATAGTTAGCTAAAGTTAATGTACCTGAACAAGTTCACAAGCAAAACCTGTTATCGCCCAACCCCTGTCGTCTGAGTTTTGTCTAACGTTATTTATTTAACTGTAACGTTATAGAGAATGGAGTGGACCCAACGCAGCCAAACACTCCTCTGTCCGAAGGTGAACCAAGCACAAGTGCTACAGGTAGCCGTAGCAGCACACCATCTGAGGCTGACGACGATGATGGTAAGCAGTTATCTTACAGGTGGTAACTTTAGCTGATGTTAGCTTGATAAGTTTTATTTCACGTTAGCTAACTTTGTTTATTGTAAAAACCTGGCATCCTGCAGCTGATACTCCAAAAGCTATAGCAATAGAAACAAAGTAGGCTTATAGATTCAATAGGTTTTACTATTATATCCCAGTTATAACTAACAGTTGTAATTAGAGTAAAAATCTTGTGTCTAGGTTCCTCAAAAACTTACCAGTATTTGTCATCCACCACTCCTTGAAGCACATAAGAGGGCCATCCTTTTCTATTAACAAAGTCCCTGTATCCATCACTGGGGGGCAATACAGGTATGTGGGTGCCATCAACACAGCCTATGATTTGAGGAATGTAGTGGAGTCTACCATGCCGTGGCAGAACATGTAGATGAATTTCTTCACTGTACACTTGTGGACACCGAACTGATTAGCAACTACACGATACTCGGTACAACTTGCCAGTTTGCAGGTGTCATAACCCTTTCCATCATTAGGCACAGTTGATTGAGTGAGCCTCGTGCCATGCGGAAATTTGAAATGCGGAAATGCATTGGTGAACTCTAACATTACTACTCGCTCCCACCAGCCTGGCTGCAAACTTTCATCCATAGTCTCCACGGGGCTCTGGTTGGTATCCATGGCATAACGCGTAGAGCTCCATTTACCATTTCCTCGCGTTCTCGTCGGCCACGGTTGAGGAGGTGAAGGAAAACAAGTGTTCCAGTCACACTTTGATGGAGCAGTGATACAAATATAACAGTATAGCGCAAAAGCAAGCATTTTGGATTATTTGGTGGAAATGCCAATACAGTAGGCCTACGTGCGAAAAGAACGCCCCTCGATGACGTCTTGTCATGACGCTACTACTACGGTTTATTCTGAATATGCTGATTAACATATAAACGGGAATATTCCAGTAGCTCAGCACTCTGCAGAGCATGTAAACACCTTTTTCAGAATATTGTCTTAACCAGAATATGGACCTTAATCGGAATATGGTGTGCATGTAAACGTAGTCAGTGTCTATTATAGGCTGGAAACAGTAAACAGATGGTAAATGGACTTGAGCTTGTATAGCGCTTAGTCTTCTGACTACTTTTACACCACATGTCACACATTCACACACTGATGGTAGAGGCTAAAGTGAGCATCAGAAAAAACAAATCCCATTCACACACATTCATACACTGCTGATGAAGCAGCGGGAGCAATTCAGGGTTAAATGTCTTGCCCAAGGACACATCGGACATGATGTTGGGACTCAAAACCCGAATCTTATGGTGGAGAGACTGACTGACTCTGCACATATTTAATGATTGTGCTTACTGATTTGCAGCTTGAAAAAAGAATAGACTAGAAGCCTTGGTCTAAGGCCACTCGCTCTCTGAGGGATGACTGAAGTGTTGTAGGTGGAGTATTTTTCATCAAAAGATTGATTGAATGACTACTAACATATACTGAATATATGTTTCTTTTTTTTTTTTAAGTTGCTTATCTTTTAACTTGAAGTCCTAACTTAAAGCACTATTTTAAATCTTGACCTCTGGCTGTCCTCGTTCTTGAACTCCACCTCTCATCTCACACCATGTTTGTTCTGTTGCTAAAATAAGCACAACGGCCGAGGTGCTGCCTCTGGTGTGTGTGGTCCGCTGCTATTCAAGATGGTGCATCGCCCACGCATACACACAAGAAAACCTCTTGGATTCGGCCACAGAGAAAGACAGTGTTTAGACTACCCACAATCCCCTCCTCTCCTCTGCTCGGCTCGGCTGCACATCTCCTACACGGAGAACTCCTACACTGGCCTGTGCCCTCAGGATCACTCCCTCCCTGTGTGCTGCCTGCAGGGCCCAGGACATTGTGAAATGTTTTCACTGTCAGGATGAAAAATACATGTGAACACGACGACCTGCTGCAGGGGAAAAAAAGATACCCTGAGAGAAAACTGTGATAAGCATAATTATACAGTTAAGTTGTTTACCAGTGGCATCAAGTCTCCAGCTGCTGACATGTTTATGTATTAATCATGTGGTTCAAAGTCACAGGGATCCACATCCATAATAGTCCTCTCACTAATTGAGGGTCTAGTGATAGTAAGCATTTAAGTTTCATAGAAACTTCTTTAAATTTAAGTTTTTGTCATTTTTGCCGTGTAATTTATGGCTTGTGGATGTCAACCAAGGCTCAAAACACGATCTGTTATTGGTGCAGCAGTTGACATTTAAACAGTCCGAACTCTTCTCACATTAGGATATGGTTGATTTGCTTTAATGGAGATTTTGCATCAACATGGAGTGGTTCATTGAGATGGCACTTGACCTGCCATCCCAGCATGAAGCTGGTCCTCTAACACCTTCACTGACTTCTCTCAGCAAAGTTAATCAATAATTAGCTGTAAGACATGACAGGATGAGGGTGGTGATGCTCATTTTTAGAAACATGAAACCTTGCGCTAATTCAATTTACTCTTTCGACATTGAGTTTTTCTTTTATTTGTTTCAGCCCACTTACATGACATCTTCAGAAAATGACAGATTATCACAACTCTATATGGCAACAGGTATCAGCCTTGTTGTTCTTAGACTTTCCTGATATTGGGTTTCAGGTGGAATTATTTATTTAGAAAATAAGGCAATTAATCCTGTGAATCATTTATAATGACAGTCACATGGCAGCTGCTTTTTATGACCAGCATCATGTGTAGTAGGCAGGTGATTATTTACAGCCACAGTTTTCTATTTTCATCTGAGGAGCTTAGTCAGGTAAGTTAATGAATGATTGACGTAGGTAGAGAGAGTTTTGATGCATTGTTATACTTATCTTGCTTACACTAAAACCATCACAGTGTATTATGATGCAGGTGTATACTAACTGCTCAGAAAGATGCATTTGTTATCTTCAGTGACATAACGATAGTCAGTAGCATTATTCGTTGCAGCTTGTAAACACAACTTTCAATTGAGCCCTTGGTTCACTCCAACCAGAAGTGCAAACCCACTGTCACTGACACCCACCTACAGCATCCTGTTTCTATGCACAAGCTGAAACATCAAGTTATTTTCATTGGTCAATGGCAGGACTTAGCGTGTACGTCTACTGCTTGTACTTATACTGCAAGCTACCTGAGAATATTGAGTTTGTTGTAATGGAAAAGCAGCACAAGCTAACCGCAAGTGTTTGGCACCTGCCTGTCCGACAGAAAGCAGGACAACTCCGCATCTCTCTTCATCCCAAGCCGCTTCTTAAGTGCCTGAAAGCGGGTGAAGGCCAACCCAAGGTTTAAACTTGTTTTGGAACGAGCATCATCCACTTGGAATTCTGTTTCTCTTCTTTGATTCTACGTCTGCCATATCCGCTGTTCTCAGTTGTGAATCCTATCCACTCCCAAATTCACCTGTGGGCAACCTTTTTTACAAATAGTGATGTGTCGTTCGTGAATGATTCGTTCAAAACAAACAAATCATCTGGGTGAACGAACTGAACTGAATCACATACTGAAAAGAGTCGTTCATTTCTCGACTTCATTTGTGCTCTCCCGTCTCGTGTCTCTCTCTCCAGACTGCAAGAATTGCTCAAATCCCGCCCTCCCTCTCCGTTTCATGTCAGTGATACTACTGACTGAACCAACAGGACGGAGTCGGTCGGGAGCTCTGTGTGGCTCAAGCCCGACCCTACTTCTCCCTCTCATGGCTCCAAAATTGAGGATGTAGCAAATATATTATTTAACATTTAGGTGTCGCAAACGGCTTTTATATCCAACTTAATTTCACTCAGCTGACTGTTTTAACATCCACTAACGATCGTGTTTCAGTCAGTACAGTGTGTTTGTTTGTTTGTTTGTTTGTTTATTTAACATGGACATACAGTAACTTTGGTGCTGTAACATTTAACCATAAACAAGTTCCAGATGCACTGCTCTTAGTGTTTATAGCAAAATGATAATTTGCAACACCTGTCCACGGGAGGCTTTTAGAAACAACAGAGATAAAGATAAAAAGGGTAAGAAAAAGAAAACAGTTCAGTTATAAATACATCGCAGTTATGAATGCAACAGGGATAAAATACAGTTACAGAGAGAAAAATATACAAGCTTGTGCGTTTAGGTGTTAGAACAATGTTGTTTCTCCTTCAGCCATGATTTAATACCTTTGTTAAAAACATTCAAACTGTGTAGCATTTTCAGTTCAATGGGTAGACAATTCCATAGATTAGCGCCAATGGGGCGGCAGTAGCTCAGTCTGTAGGGACCTGGGTTGGGAACCAGAGGGTCACCGGCTCAAGTCCCGGTGCGAACCAAGTATGGAAGTTGGTCTGGCAGCTGGAGAGGTGCCTGAGCACTGCCAAGGTGCCCTTGAGCAATACAGTGCAAGGAGTCATTAAGGTGGGCAGCAGCTTGCCTAGCAGATCTTGCAGGTGTGTATATAACCGTATCCACAGCATACATTTGGCAGCCAACTGCAGGACAGATCTCAGGTAGGTCATTGATGTACATGCTAAATAGCAGCGGACCTAGAACTGACCCCTGGGGTATCCCCATGCTGTTTTTACAGAAGATGGACTTTTGCCCATTGACTCTGACACATTGCACTCTTCCACTTAGGTATGAGTCAAGCCACTGCGAAGCCTGATCAGAGAATTGAAATTTAGAAAGTTTGGATAGCAACACATTGTGGTTAACAGTGTCGAAGGCTTTTTTTAAAGTCTAGGAAAACTGCCCTTATCCAGAAAGCATTTTATTTTCTCAATAAGATAACAGATTGCAGTCTCAGTAGAATGTTTGGGTCTAAACTGCAAGTGGTTTGTCTTAAGATGTAGTATGAGTTGCTCTGCAACAACTTTTTCTAATATCTTTGACACAACTGGGAGAATGGCAATAGGTCTATAATTACATGTCAAGTCTGGTTCACCACTTTTGTAAATTGGACTGATAATGGCTTTTTTCCAGCTCTCAGGGAAAGTTTTTGTTTGAATTGACATAT